ATACTGAATGTTTGCTAAAATCAGTTCTGGCTACAAGCAGCTAACAACTTTAGAGGATTACAATTGACTGAAAATGAAGATAAAGAAATCATACACATTAAATTAAAAAATTTTAAATCATTACATTAAAAAAAACCTACTGGTGACACAGTATTTTCAGACTGAAAGGGGAAGTCGAATAAATCCAGAAATGATGAATGAAAACTTGAATAAACTTATATCACTGAACAGTGAAAGTAGCGCTAATGAAGAGGATAAAGCACATTTGACTTTTAAGAAGTTCAATGAATCGTTAAAAAATGCAAAGAAGCTGATTTTGCATTAGAGATTGTACCAAATGAAGAAAGAAGCAAGCACTTTATGACAGCCATTAAGAAACTCTGCGCTCCTTATCATGAAACTTTTAAGTAGTTGCATCAGCCATTGTCCCAAGAAACAATCACCAGCTTTTTAAAAAAGTTATTGTATCGCATAGGTATTAAGCAGTAACAAAAATCCTTTCAATTAACATTTGTTTTGTTTTTTATCTTTAATGACAACAATATTTAGGTTTGTTTAAATTGCATATACTTCCTTGATCTGAATTATACCTAACACATTTTTTTCCACAGAACACAATTTTGTTGTATGCGTAATATATTGCTGATGTAATCCCCGCATTCGGCAAGGTTTATTGTATGGGCAGCTCTGTTTCAATTAAGATTAAGCACAGCTAGCTTCCATTTCATACACATTAATATCTAACTTTAGATCTAAAATTATAAGTCCAATACAGCAGGCAACAAATTCCTACTATGAACTCATTATTGCCAATAATAATTATCTCTATCATGTAAAATGTCCATAATAATTTTTTAAAAACAAATCCACAGTTTCAGCTTCTGGAATACATATAAAGTTAAGAATTTTCTATATGAAAGCTTGATTACTTACAGGAAAATGATTTCTTTATCAACTGATAAGCACAAATGGAATTTGAATGACAAGATTTCTATTTATCCTTTTCAATTTTTAAAATTTTTAGATAGGTTACATAAATATTTGTTTAATAATAACACTTTTCTAAAAGAATATGCAGCTAGTTTTAATTATGAAACAACGTAATAATTATGAAAATATGCCATCTCTTTATTAAATTAGATAGCAAATTCACAGTTTTCAGGATATATGTGTGTGTGTATATATATAGTGCAGCTTCACTCAGAATTGACCTCACTATAATTCAATCAGAAATTTGTGTAATAAATTTCACTTGGTAATGATTAATTCACTATTGTGTGGCTCAGAAAGATAAATGCTATACTGCCAAAACTAATGGGTATTCCTAAATATATTTATAATGAATGAGGAACGGATATCTGTTGCAATAAACTAAACAAGCATAAATTACTAAATTTACAAGAAAAGCTGAAATTATTAAAATTCCCGAGGATGGTGAATCATATGCTAAGCTTTCAGAGAAAACTAAATGAGACTTCAGTTTAAATGACTGTGAAAGATAAAAGAGAAATATAAAAGTATGGAAAGGCTACAAACTCTTTTGCTCTCAAGAAATTTGCAAGTCCTTTGATGTTAAACATGGAAAAACCTTTTTCCACTTTGGATTGAGGACTATAACCAAAAAAGAATTAAGAAATTGAAGTAAAAGCATCAGTTCTTTTTTCTACACACAAACAGTCTGAAAACAAAACTGAAGAAAATTTTCAAGCAAGCTGTACATGATTGTTTTACTTTAAAAAAATGCTCAGGTATGAATAATGTTCGCATCCTGGGTGAAAGTGCAAATGCAGATAAGGAGCAGCATCAAAATTCCTAGAAGAAATAAAGCAAATTGTTGGTAAAGAAGGCTACCTTAAAGTAAAAATTTTAACATGGAACTCGGTTATACTGGAAGAAGCTGCCTTCTAGAACTTTTTTTATCAGAAAAAGAGCCTCCTCACCTATAAAACATGAAATTACCTTACTGTTAGAAGGAAATGTGTCTGGTGATATTAAACTGAAGAACATGCTTGTATAATCATGATAAAAAAACCTCACAATTTAATGCTAAAAACTCATTACCTATGTTTTGGCATTCTAATAAGAAAGGTTTAGTGACTAAAATAGTGTTTGAAAGCTGGTTTAAAGATTATTTTCGTCCCTTTGATAAAAGTTATTATGAAAAACAAAATATAGCCTTTAAAGCCTTATTATTATTATTACATAATGTGCCAGATCATCCTACTGGACCTTTCTAATTTTTATAATGATGTCAGAATTCCTTTTTTTTTCCTCCCACATACTACCTCCATACTACAATCCATGCAGCAAGGGATTATTTCCCCATTTACGGCTTTTTATTTAAGAAGGACACTTTCACAGGCATTCGAAGCAGCCTTTGGAGGAAACACCCCACATTTGACCTCATTTTGGAAATATTAAAATATCTTAAGTGCTATTGAAAATACCAGACATGCATGGAATGAGGTGAGGGATAATAATATAAGAAGCATGTGGAAATATGTTTGGTCTCATTGCATTGATGATTTCTGCAGCTTTGATTTCAAAATGGATACAATTGCAGCAGAAGTCATGAAACTTTAGACACAATTAAGACTTAACTCATTGGATGCTTCTGATGTCATGGACTGTATTCAGTGGAATCTCAGTCTCTTTATGATGAATCTCTCATCAACATATAAGAAGAACAAGCTTATGAAGATGAAAGTGAAACTAAAGAAAACATGCAAAGGGAAAGAAATTCCACATTGAATAATCTCAAAGAATTATTCAATGCAATTGGGAGAGCATGTAAATTGATTGAAAATGATCTGAATGAGAAAAAAGAGCCTTGACACAAAGCAAAAATTTGAAAATGCAATTCTTTTTTATTGCATGACAAACAAAGGGGGAAAAAAAGTATAAAAAACAGATTGATTTTTTGGTTTAAAAAAAATGTTTTTCTTTTTGATTCTGTAAACGAACAATAAAATTCTTCTATTATGTATTGTACTTTTTTTACCCTTTTATTAATTTCCAGAAATTTTAGATAAATATGTAAATATTTTTATTTTAACAAAATTTGGGGACAATTTACTAATCTTAATACAGAAATGATGTTTCACTCAGTGCAGATTCATTTAATACGTTATTTTAGAATAACCAATCAACAGTACTAAGTGAGGTATTCCTATATATATATATATATGTGTGTGTGTGTGTGTGTGTGTGTATAAAATATAATAAAATATGATAGCTGCTTTAAAAAATAATTGGAGACCTCAAAATTAATATTCTAGATTTAGTGTTCTCCCTCTAAATTCATCTACTCTCCCAAACTCGAGATTTTTCTATGTTATGTAATGCTAATGGAAAAGGACAACTAAAACTAATATTAACCAATCGTAGCTTGTCTCTGGGATTGACTCTGGTATAAATACCTCTAGCGAGGTAATTACGTCATTATTCTGCTAGCTTCCACCTTGCTAATATCTCCTCGCTTCGCTTCTGTAAAATGCCTGCGTCATTTCTTGTTATAAACATTGTACAGAGAAATTTATTATATTTCAGTACGATTGAATCATGGAAATGCACTGGATTTCATTGTGATTGGATAAGTATCTACTGAGATGATTTTATATGCATGAAAATAAAGACTGGAAATTCTTCAAGTTTATGTTTTGTTATCTTCATCGGTAAGTCTTCACAATAAGCCACGACAACTGCAAGCTGATTCCTCTTCTATGCTTCAAAAATATTACATATATATATGTGTGTATAATCGATTTACAGACATCTGCAATAGAACGGTGATGGTCTGTCACATTAAAATAATTTAGAGACTTTTTTACTGCATAGATAAAAGGATGACAACACGTAGACAGACGCAGCCATAGATTCAATATAATTTCATTATTGGATAACACAATATCTGATTTACATCATTATGGGTGCAATATTTAGTATTATTTATTAATGTTGTAAGCTTAGTTCAATGTAAGACAATGGATAAAGACAAAAGTGAGCAGCTGCATGTTACTTCGATGCAAGCAAGCGGAAAAGCACACAGTTATTCAGTATAGAAGCTTAGTTTAACAGAAGCAAGGTTTCAGTTTGGAAATTTAGAGTTGTTCTGAATTAGCTACATCATCATCATTATGGAAAGGGAAAATAACCAAATTAAAATAAAGTTAATAACAATATATATATATACATAATTAAAGGCAGAACCAAGGAAGTTATTTAAAAAAACCTGCACAAATGCATTCTTATAGAATATATGCAAATTATAAATTAATTACATACTGAATACTGTGCTAAATAAAACATATAGTTGTAAATTCACAACAAGGATGCTAAAAGGATAAAACTGCAAGCAAACAGGCCTTAAATTATAACAGAAAAACAAAAACATACTTGATTTTATGACTTAAATATCTTTTTTCAAGTTTATGAAACTATAAATATGACAATTTAATTTTTCTCTTCACTACTAACATCTTATAATTCTTAACCTCAAAATGCACAATTAAAATGATGGCTTAAGAATTACATAAATTTTAATAAATTAGATTGGATAAGGCAATTTTAAAATTAAATTTAGATGGTTTCCAAATTTTTAAAAACATAATTAAAATATCTGGGCCAATAATAAAATAAATCTTATTAAATGAGATTAAGTAAGACACATTAGAATTAAATCCAAGTCAAAGATGCTATCAAACTGCTAAAAAGCTTTACAAAAATAATTAATATTTTAATACAAATTTTTCAAGCTTAAAATATTGATTTTTAAATCAAACCTCTTCAATAAGTTTAAATCTGATTAAAGTCAGCAAATGAAAATGATAAAGTAAGGTATGAAAGTATGGTAATAGTAACTACGTCACATCTGGAAAACAACCATCAAAGCTCTTTGGAATTTCATAAATAAATATAAGTAACAATATATTACTCTATAAGGTAAGAACTGAATTTCATAATTGCCCAGTTTAAAATATATACATCAAAATAAAAACTACCAACGTATTTGGTCTTTATACTTGTCATATACACTCCATCTTTTCAGTGTTTCATAACCTAACACAACAAAACAGGATGAGAAAAAAGTCTGTATCACACGTGCTGAGAGTCCTTTCGATAAAAATGAAATACCTTCTTCCCGCCAAAGTGTATTGAGAGCACAAGAAAAGGAATTCATCCTATGAACCTAGAGAAGAAGAACAAAGTTACGGCATTAATCTAGAGAAGTTACAAAATCAAATAGTTGTTTTACTTTAAAATTACTATTACTTCTAAAAGAAAGATTAATCTATGGCAATACCTTTCAATAACCTAAAAATGTTTTATGCAAACTAGGTTCTTTTTAATTTTTAATGAAAATATTACCCAGCTACTTTCAAAATATATTACTACGTTTATCTTTAATAGATGTAATACTTCTGAAATTTTTCTGATAATCTGTAATTAGGAAAACACATGCTAGATCTTAAAATCCAAAGTTAAAGTTTTTCAACATGACTGACCAGATTTCAAATCAGGGTATTCCATTTCTTTTAACAGTGGTTTAATTTGATGTATAGAATGATTATAATAAAATTTGTCATTTAAAATTATGTTTAAAAGGAACAACTCATCAAGGTGACTTGTCATCTTGTATGAATATTTGTGAACCAATGGAATACATATTTGATGAAAGGAAGAAAATATAGAATAGTTGAATATGTGCCACTAGATTGTGTTATAATGCATACTGATAATATCAAAAAATGAAACCTATTTACATATTTATAGGGTAAGAGCAAAATGTACAATATGCTTTCTCTTATTTGTGAAAATCTACATTGCATACTGCTGCAATGACTATCATTACAACATTATACTTTTCTTAAAAACTATTACATCAAAACAACAGTTCTTGAAACAGTTGCTCACAAAAAGTAAAAAACAATACAAAGATTAAATTCTAATCCAATAGTTACAAATAACTTATGTAACATGAATTTAAAATTTGAATGGACTGACTTTTGGCTACCATATCTGGCAAGGTATGCAAACCTATTTGTAACCAAATGCCCTACATTACAAGAAGACTGTATGATGTGCATATACAGCATTTATTGCCAGCTTCTTTTTTTTACCTTGAAGAAATTCGTCTTGAAGTAACATATCTGTTACTACTAACATATCTACTAACATGAATTTCTTTGTAAAACAACATTATACCAACATTACAGGAGTGGTGTCTGAATACCATTATTTTCATGTAAAATAAGGATCTACTGCATACTACAATACCAGTGAAGTGACTTCACAGTTATTTTGGAAGCAAAAGAATAACCAGGCACTATTTTTCTGTTATATGAAAGACATCTTCACTAGATGAGAATTTTTACGATCTTATATATCTATATATACGGAATAGCTAAAAGAAAGTTATGTTTAATGAGCATCTTGTAAATTTAACATGTAAATGGATAAATCTCTGCAGAAACACAGTTGTGTGAGCAAACTATTTAGTAATTTCAGCTGGTACCTGAATCTGAAGGACAGTATATTAAGCATATACGCTACTTGTGAGTATTTATTACTTCTGCAATACATTTCAGTCCACCACAATAAAACACCAATTATCCGAACAGCAGTGTTTTGTTCCTCACACAAAATCACACTGCTTTTGCACTCAAGTGAAAAAGAACACTTTTTTAATGCGATCAAAAAGATGCTGAGAGATTTACTGAGGAGGAAAAAATATCCATTCAGATTATGTTTTCTTCATGAAATGGCTCCCTCAGCCATACATCTAGTTACCCACAATATATCTGCTAACTTGAAGTTTTACAGCAATTTTTCTTTTAGGGTTAGATTGAAGATACTGAGTTCAAGTGATCTTTTGCCTCCAAATCTAAATAATCTTAATAACTGCACTGTTATTGCTCTGGAGACAGTAACAAAAGATACACTGCAATAAATAATAAGATAACTACTATTGCATTCACATCATTTGTATAATTCAGTGGAGTCGCACAGAATAAACATGAATAAAGCTTGAACAATTTTTATTTCATTTTCTTTACTTATCATGCACTGACAAATGTCAGAAAAAAAACTAATGGATTTAGTTATGAATTTTAAAGAACTTTATGCTTACTGAATGAAAACTGTGTTAAACAGATAAGATAGTCAATCAAAAGGCTACAAAGAAGAAATTTAACTGCTTTTTTAAAAAATTCTTAACTTCTTCATGTAATTAAGACACATGTAACTTACAGATAATTCCAATGGAATCTCACATTCATAGAGGGAAAAAAAAAAAAAAAAAATAGATGCTTTTACATGCTATTTATACAAATATATTGCCATATACTAACAAGGAAACACATACTCTAGGCACACAACTATTTATATAAATATTATGAATGTTTATGGTAGGGAACTAGGTATGAGATTGGGCTGTGTCTAATTTACTAAAAGGCAGGGGTAATGGAACTACATATTATGCCAAATGATCAGCAACAGAAGGGGAAAAATTGGAATCCATAAGGAGCCCATCAACTACTGTTTTGTACAAGTATAGTGCAGAAATCAGTAATATCTTCAATATGCAACAAGAATACTTTCAGTCAGGATTGGTGAAGTTTGGGATCCATAGAAGATAGCTGAAGGAATTCACACCTTGGAATTTATGGAAAGGTTAAATATTTTCATATCAGATGTCAAAAAGAAATAGAGAAGTGTAAATTTTTCTTCTCCCAAATATCACCTAGTAGAATACAGACAAATTTTTCTATCAAAACATTAAGGATACAGCATAAAACAAGGATTACATCAACAAAATTTCTGCTCAGCATGTGGCAGTATTTCAGGAAAGTAATCTATTGAGGAGTTCTATCATCAAATCAAACTTTAAATGGGAAGGCAGAACGAGCACTGCTCACAGCTGGACTGTGTTCACAATACCCTGAGATAAAAACAAGCAATGCTGGTTATCTTCAGGGCACTGATATTCTAACCAAGATGATATGCAGCAAAATAAGAGGAAGTTGCAGATGTTTGGGCGTGAACTTATTGCACCTCCTTCATTCTCTGGATAGTGTTCCAACAGAATATTGTCTCTTTCGATCACCGTTAAATCAAATATTTTCACTGCTCATAATTGGACCATCTTCACAGTGCCCTGAGAAAGAAAACATCCAATGCTGAGAATCATCAGAAAATGATACTCATTGAGGGCCAAAGACGCTCAGAATTAGAGGAAATTACATAAGTTTGGATTAAAGCTTGCACTATATCCCCATATTCATTGGCTATCACTCCGACAGATGACAAAAACCCATCATTATACATATATTATCAGACAGAAGGAACTGAAGTGCAAGAATATAAAGAATCTTTACAGCATTTCATAAAATTTCTCTGATCAGTAAGGAAGGAAAAGCTACCCACTTGTCCTAGAATATAACAATTTTTTTTCACAAGAAAAGTAACAACTCTTACATATGCCAAATATACACTTAAAATACAAAAATTGTAAAAACTAACTTTTGAGCTTTTGTTTTATGAAATTTTGAATTAATATCAAGTTTAAATCTTTATCAATTACATGTGCAATTTCACACTTTAAACAAATTACTGCTGGGCCAAAGAGTTGCTGCTGAGCCATCACACAGCCAATTTTTGTTTGTTTGAAATAATTTTTGAAAATTTTTTTCAGTTCAAGAAATTTTTACCCATTCTTGCAGTCAGCTTTTACATATTATGATTTTGGAAACTCCTTGCTGAACTTACTACTGATATTAATGATACTTATAAGATTTTTCAGAGCAATGAATATTTTGGTGCACTATTTTCTAAATTAGTTTTACACAGCAAGCATCTTTTTTCTGGAAGGAGCGTATGATAAATCATATCATAGTACTTTCCCTTAGTGAGGCACAGGGCAAAATATATACAAGTGTACTAATATTAATGTTTGCATGAATATATGTAAGAATGCAAAAACTTCACAGAAACACACACAAAATTTATTTACACATCCAATAAAAATTAGCTAAAAATATAAATTAAACAGCAAGTATGAAACTGTAAATAATGTTCAACATAAAGGAGAATATTTCAGTTTTTGAATATATGCAATGCCCCATTGACATTTTCAGTACAACTCTAAATCCTCTTACACACAGCTCTTTTTGTTTGGGGGGTATATGCATATATTAGCTATGTTATGCAGTTTGCAAAGTAATTTAAAATATCTCATAGTTTAATAGTAGAAAAATAAAAAAAAAAAAATAAATAAAAACCTTAATGTATCCAAGTTTATTTTAAAATTAAGGTAATTTTAAATACTAATACGAACCTTTTACTATTTTTGACAAATCAGATTTTTAGCCACTACATGCTAATCTTAATATGCATTGTTAAAGTGAGTATTAATAGGCTATTTTCTACACAAGGTCTCAGCATATTTCATTTTAGATTAAAGTGATTTACAAGGATCTATTGATGCAAAAAACAAGAGCCACCCTTGTGCACACTTTTTTATATACTTATATTTTTTAGGCACTACATTCTAAAATTCAGCAAATTCCACCTAATTTCCAATTTCATATTACTTTGAAAAATTTGTCAAAAAGCACTGCATAATTGCATCCAAATGAACAATTTTTACAATAAGTATTGTTTCTAGATTCCAGGGCCAGCCAGCAACCTGATGAAAAATAAATCACAGAATGCTGGTAATTTGACTTCAGTTCAAATCCCAACAAATGGTTTGGGTATTTTGTAGTTTTCCTCATGCAAATATGAGCCAGTTTATTAAAAAGCCCTCCCTCCTCTTAGGCAGATAGTCCTCAAAGTGTTTTGGCATAATCTAAATAATCCTAATCTTTCCTTTTTACATGACAGATTTTCAAAAAGCAAGACAGTTCTTAATATTTTTAAATCTAGAAATCTGATCTTAAATTTCTAAGATAAAACTAAACAATTTAAAATTATTGGGTAGTTTTCAAGAGATATTTGAATATCATCTTGTTTAGCTTTTGTTGCAACTGAAAGATAATGCCTTCATATTCATAAGCAAATCATTCCATTATATACCATAGATAAAAGGCATATGCCACGTGAAACAGGATATTTATATAACATATGCCATAATGCCAAACCTGAAATATATAAAAACCAGAAGTTCTCACACTGTGTGGAGGCACCTTTTAAAAGAATTTGAAATAAATTTTAATTCACTTGAAAACACACAGTCCAGTTCATTGAACTATTTATTATATGATTCTGATGTAAAATATATTAATATTTAATTACATGTCCCAAATTTTATGTTCTTTGGCTAATTTCATTGGTATTTGTTTACACTGAGAAAATTCTGATTAGGGAAGGTTGTAGAGACATTAGGATTAATTGGAAGCAGAAGAAATGAAAAATTAGCAACACCTTTGCCAGGAATCAAACCGCGGACCTCTGGAATATGTGCCAACGTGCAGACCACCACACCATGAAGGCATGCCAAGAAGGTGGGAGAAATACCTTATACCCCCTTTTAAAAGGTGACTGGGGTTTTAGGGGATCCAATCACCAAATCCTGGGTGTGGGAAATCATCAACCACCACCCTTTTAGTTTGGGTGCCACTTGTAGAAACATTAGGTATTTTTTGGAAGTAGGCAAGATGAAAAATGAGCAGCATCTTCGCCGGGAATCAAACCATGGACCTGTAGAATACGCCCAGCTTGCAGACACCACACCATGAAGGCATGCCAAAAAGGTGGAAGAAATACCTTATAAGACAAACTTTCATTTATCAAATTAATTTTAATAAAAAATTAATAATTAATTTACATATTATTGTGCAGATAAACTTAATAATGTAATACACATTCACGTAAAAATAATTAAATACAAATATTTACTGATTAAACATTTGGTTGAATCTTCATAAAAGTTATACTTAAATTAGTAAAAGCTAAAAAAATAAAACTGGGAAATTCGATGGTCTACTGGGAGATAGGCAAAAAACTGGCAGTCCCATGGCAAAACCTAAAACTGGGAGGTCCAAAATAATATGAACATCTGTGAAATATGCTGCATTCCAGCAATTGAACTATGCCACCTGTTACAGAAGTCTGTGATGTAGTGCTTGTCATTGGGAAAGTATTAGTTCTCGACAGCTGTCATAGATAATATACGCACCTACTATGCTATCTGAGATAACTTGAAATGTCAAGCCCAACAGATTTATAAAGATGCATGCATGATTGTTGCAGCCTCACTTATGGAAACAATAAAACTTTTTCCATGTGCAAGAAATATGATATCAGCCATTATAACAGCATATGCAAAAAGCATTAAGATGATCTCGTAAAGGCACAATGGTGGAAAAAAGATAAAACTTGCTTTAAAGAAAGATGCTGAAGCATGCAGTGGCCTGAAAGCATAAGCAATCACTATTCCAGATAATATCCAAAATGAACACAAATCTTCAGAAACCTACTTTAATCAAAACTATCAGAAGGGAATTCCATGCCATGAATATTTATAAAAGAGTGGCAATTCACAAATCATACGTAACATCATTTAATGCTTTCAAGCGACGTCCATAATACATCTAAGCTAGGCCTTATAGCAGCGACAGTAAGTCAAATGATCTGATGAATCAGCATTCATCCTATTTCAGACTGCTGGACAAACTTATGTCTAGAGAACATCCAGAGAAACATTCACGCCTACCTGCTTTTTAATGACTTTGAAGAACATAAGTGGCCCCTATAAGTATGAGGTACAATATCTTGATGCAGTCTGAGCCCATTTATTATTCAGCATGGAAAAATCAAGCCCTATCACTATCAGGACAAAAATTTAAAGCTTTACTACTTTCATTAGCCCTTTATCTTATACTACGGCAAATAGCTCTTGCAATTTGTGGTGCAATGAGAAAACTAGCACACTTTTTTTTCCTTATTCTTCAATTAGCACACAATTTTCCTTTATTTTTCAATACTTCATGAAGTGAAAATTCATTCTTAATAATCATACCGAAAATTTTTACTATAACATCAATGGACAATCCAAATCACAATTTCTCTTAAGGTTGGAAGCTTTTGTAGTGTAAATAAGAAATTTCTGAGTAAAAAGGTGCAGTAAAATATTGCTAATGAAAATAATGAGATTGCTTAAAACAGAGCAGAGGAAAATTAAAGAGGATAATGTAAGTTAAGTGCTCAGGAAAAGCAGTCAGATGTTTTGACAGCTGATTGCCATGGATGCTTGTTAACAATTTTTATAGCTATCAAGAAAGAAAGAACTAAAAGCTTGATTCTGAAGAGCAATCTATAACTGTGAGTGTGTAAAATGTTTCAAAGTTGATCATTTTCATTCTCCTCCTATTTTGTTACATTAGGAAAGTCATCGTGGACTGTCCTGTTGCTTATTTGTGACCATCATCCCCTATGTTACTCTGATTAATCAGGTGTCTACTGTACTGCATATTTTTGTGTAAAAATAAAATTAATTTCTAGCACAAAGAATACATAAAAGATCCAGAACTTTTCGTCTGTGCTAAGGTATGCAAAAGAATGTCACTATAGTTATCACTTAACTTCTTTCAACAAGTTTGTTTTTAAATTTTGTGCAGTTCAATTCATGTGAAAAGATTAAATTCACTATATTTATTAGTTTTCTTCATGGCATCTAGTTCAGGCAGAGATGCACTGCAAAACTTAGCTTGAAGAAAGGTATAGTAAAGTAACATATTTACTACAGTTACAACAAAATTCAGATTACAGTATATAACAAAAACAGAACACTATAATGTTGCTGAAATGTTGGTACTAAAATCAAAGGGAAAGTTAAAATATAAACAACTTTTCAAATCTTCTGTAATAGGATCAGAAATATATTTTGCTGTTTTCAATACACTCAACACAGGTAAAATCTAAGAACAGCATTAGAATTTTCCTTTTCAGAAACAAATGTTCTAACACTGTTTCTTTGGCAGATGTTATTGTTGTTATCAAATAATACTTTCCATCCTTATTATAACCATTTAAGAACAAAACAGACAAAACTGAATAACATTCGACAAAAGGTTTAAGAACATTTCAATTAACTACTATCTTAAGATTTAATATTTTTTTATCTTTTTTACTAGTCATACATGCTTACCATATTTATTACAACCTAAAGGAAACTTTTTTGGACAGTTTACTTTACTTTATGGTTAGGATTAAGAGAGATAATTATTTTTAAATATAAGAACTCTCATACAGTACCATTTAATCTTCAATAAGAAAATTAAGATTTCTTACCTGAATACGAGCTCGAATAACATCTAATGGATTAGTAATCACAGCAACAGTAATGCCACTCAACTGACCACCAACACAATGAATAAACATATGAGATGTCCACAATGGAACTACTGAAGCCAGCGCATCTAAAACACAATAAATATAGCATTTAACATATTTGATTTAATATTACCTTTCCATAGCACTGCCAAATAACTGCAAGCCATTGAAACATATCTTTTTCTTAAACATACGAGTTGCTATCAAAAATTTTGCAACTAGTTCTGTAACACGACAACAGATAGCAGAACAAAGTTAAATGTACAGGCACAGAGAACAATGAACTTCATAACTCAGTGTGGCAAGCAGTGCCATCCTGTGTATACCCAGAGCTATGCAGCTGGTGCTATTCTGACACTTGTGTTATCACATCTGTTATTTCATCAAGGGAAGCAAGTTAGAACAATGAACAAATGTGAAATTCTGTGTAAAATTGGGCAAAATCTGCCACAGAGACACTTGGCATGATTCAGCTAGTTTTCTGCGATGCTGCAATGAGTCGTTTGAGCTGTTTTAAGCGGCATGCATGCTTCAACATCATTGGAAGATGACTAGATCAGGGCGACTTTCAACAGGAAAAACTCAAAAATGTCGAAAACATTCAGCAATCCGTGCATAAGGATCATCAGGAGAACAATCCAAAACAGTGCTGCCATTGTCAGAATGCCATCAGCAACAGTCCAGGCAATCCTCACGCATGATTCAAACATAAGCCATGTTGCTGCTACGTTTGTTTTAGACTGCTGACCCAGAAGCAGAAGTAACGTGTCTAAGTCTGCCAAAACTCTGTCAGTGTGCTATGGATAACTCGTCTTTCATGTCAAAGATCACTATCGGTACAGAAACTTGGGTATACATATATGACAGGTAAACATATCTAGTCTCAAAACTTTTTGAAAACACCTCGTTATATGTACTGTGACAGTGAACAAATGGAGTTTAAATTCTGCAATTTAATTTTTTACAGATGTACCTTATTGCTTGAAAGGATGTCAACATATTCAAGAAAACTGGAAGTCTACATAAATTTTATTACAATGAAAATGCTATATAAATTTTATTATTTTAGTTGAATATTATTTTCAACTAAGTACTGAACCATGGGATTTAGGGATGTATCTAGAAAACTATGTTAGTTCAAAGCGGCAAAAATTAAAATAACTACACCTGATGAAATCTGCAAGTTTGATAAAATTTTTTCAAAATTTTACATTTAAAAAAATTGTGTTTAGTACGCAATTAAAATATATAAAATGTAAAAAACCCAATATCTCATAAAGATATAATCACATCTTGAAATATGGCCAGCTTAATCCAATACACTTTAACAAATTTATAATTGCAAAATAACAAACTGTCAACTTTGTTTCCCATGATATATTAATTTCACTAGTCTTTTTCTGTTCAAGTAATATCAAGCATTTCCCACTCCATATCGTCCCATTCTAATTTATTTATTTCTCTATGCCTTAGACTCAATAGTAGACCTTTGATTTCAGCTGATTTCATCGCTGAAACAATTTTAATAAAATAAAAAAAGGGAGAACATGAAACAAAAGCAAATACAAAAAAGGTAGTTAGTGTCCTACATTGACTAAATAAAATGCACAAAACTAAAAAAATAAATTAATAAATAAAATAATAATAATTATAAACACTGCAGTAAAAATAATAAATCATGAGATTAAAGAACAGGCACAAAATTGAAACAGCATTTTGCATAGCAGGGATTCGCAAAAGCTTAATAAATTGGGTACGAGATCTAGTGTCTGGATTAGCAAAATAACAGGAGCAATTTAATTTGAAGCATTCTAAATCCCAAACAGTGAACTGCATTTCAGTGAAACAACAACTATAATTAGATGAAAAGCATAGTTACACGAGCAATAGTTATTAACACAATTTTTGAGAAGAAAGAGGCCAAACCAAACTCGTGATGTTTGGTGTTAAGGATATATGCCAAAAGAAAGTATGTCATATACGATTTTTTTCCTCAGGAATCTAAGGAAAATTGCAACACTCGGACATTTTGTATTCTTGGTAAGAAACACATACATACACAAAATTAAATTAGTACATGCCTTAAACTCTAGTGATATCATGAAGCTTATCCATAAACAATATTTGACTTACGCTCTGGTTACAAATAAAATTTCATCATGTTAAACGCAGGATTACATTGTAGCTTAATGGGTATACATTGCTTAACCACTTAACTGTTTTGCCTGAACACCGTTCGAGTGCTGCGAACAGAGACTTTTTCTATTTGCTCATACACTACTCAGGCAGTGTGCTTTCCTATACCAACTAACAGTTGTAGCTTGCATTAGACAGTGAGTAAGAACTGCAGTTATTTGACTCAAATCAATAATTATAAAACTTGATGAGTTTAATTCGCTAGGCCCACAATATCATTTGATATGTTGAATGATGCTGTAAGTAGGTTAAAAATTTTTATGTATTGGGTTGGGGCATAAGTTCGACACATGGGCATAATCCTGAGCATGTTGTTTGATGAGGATTATTGTAAAACAATCTGATTTAGCTGATTTTCAACAAAATGAGGTCTTCCAGGCCAGTCTTCAAATTAAACTCCAAACAAACAACTGAATAATGAAAAACGAAAGCTTCATAACACAGGATGAAGAAAGGCAGACTTATGCACTGATCCAACAAATATGGCAGTAGGCTATAATAGTTGCTGATATTTAAATTCTTAGACTTCATTATTACACAGAAATAAATATATAAATATAAACAATATTATTAACCCTGGAATACGAGTTGGGCACTGTGTCAAAAAAACCCCAATTAGTGTTTTTTGAAGAAAATATAAATCTTCAGAAAAACTGTTACATCTATGTCCATAATAAATTTTATGATCAAATTTTAAAAATATGCACATTAAAATTTTTAATTTCTCCAAATGCTTTCATGAAATAGAATTTTTTAAAGGAATAGAAAATTGCATCATATATTAGCATATGAAAAAAAAGTTGTATACCTTTATCGATATTAATTTTCTTTATTAGCACTATACACACAGAGAAAAATGCAACAACAGATGTTAGCAGCACATTCAAGAGTTTCCATGTGTTCCAATATATTCTTCGTCAGGTGATGTGTTTAATTACTTTTGCAACATTTCTTCGTTGTAAGATTAATTATGCAACATATTTGCCGCTTTCTATACTATCATAAATCAACTATGCAATAGTAATACGAATAGGCACGCTGGGTCTAATAGACCCATTTCAATCAAAATTGAGATTTCGAACCAAAGCCCCAGCAAAAAAACTTTGGAAATATAAAGAGGTCGAACTAAGACATGACTATACTGGGCCTCAACAACTAGCATAAAATAGGCATTCTTTGAGACAGGTTTGTTTAATCATGTGGGACTGTACATTTATTTATTTTGAGCTTTCATTTTAATAGTAAGTATTAGAGTTTTCTGTTTATTTTACAAAAATTAACAAACACGAGAATCTAAACACTTCAGTATAAAGCAGACTTTATCAGAATTTTTTCCATGCTATTTTAATTGCAAAATGTGCTTAACACACAGTGACATTAAGTGCTTCAAGATCATGAATGCACATGAAGCTTCATTTTTTTTTTCAACATTAGAAGTGAAGAGGTTAAGTTCACATTTACATCAGATAACATTTTGGTGCAGAAGATTCTCATTTTGTCTAACTGATATGCCTCTCTTTTATTAATCATTTTATGAAATGAATTTAAAGCTAAAGATATGACCTAATATGAAAGCTTTTTTGCTTTTTATTTTTATCTGTACAGTTACGAATAGCTCAAATTTCAATAATATTAATGAAAATGTCTAACTCTAAGATGTTATGACAAAAATCTATACAATAAAAATAAGATTTGTACATGCCTGTTGATGGAACATCAGTCTCCAAATGCAGTAACCCGTATATTTTGCATCACGAATAGTTGTGCAGTGAATAGCTGCACAATGCCAAGGCTGTGCATGATGCTGAATTTGCTCAAGCTGTGACGTTTCGAAGCAAAAACAGATTGCTGTACATATGGGGAGAACCCCATGTATACGCAATTAAACATATATGATATACTATTGTTATTACAACTTCTTTAATTTCATGAAGCTTTACGCATCATTAGGATTACCACTATCTAGTTTAGTTTCATGCCAATGTTTAAAACTCCTATTAACAGAAAAGTACTGCAAAATTTATCAAAATACTGCGATATTCTGAAAAAACATCACTAGATGGACACAATTATAAACAAAATTTTAAATTCTTGAGTTCTGAATGAATATGAAATATATCAGAAATTATTTATCATATGAATAATATTTGCCTTAATATAATAATTAAGAGAAGTCTGAAATATTATAAAATCAATCAGAATCAGGCACACGAACATGAAGCAAGCAAACACGTTTAATAAATGCAACCAAACCAACTGGCTTGTTAAGGTCATATCATACATTCAAAACATTTGACTAGTAAGGGACTGTTGGGACACTGGGGTGCATGGGCCGAAGGCCCTACCCTAATTGAACAAGAAATTGAGCTTTTCTTAATCATGTCAAAAATAAACAGATAGTAATTTGAAACATAATTTGATTTTACATACACGAACTGTGTTCAATAAAGTTGCCTAAACTTAATTCAAAGTATAGATTCATGAGAATTTGTACTAAATTAAGCAAATATTAAAATATGCTCGTTAAAAATTCAATAGGCAGTAAAAATCAAGCATGTGGTAAACCATTCAAGGTAATGACAGGGAATGCTGCAAAGAAAGTACATAAACAAGTGCATACATACAAGAAGTACGAATTTGTTGGTGAGAAGATATAAACTAGAAAATTTAGGAAGTGTAATTAAGCAATTACAACAAGTGAGACACTGAAATAAACAAGCAATTATTTACAATGCATTGTAAATTTTTTAATTTGTAGCAAGATACAGAGAAATAATGGCTAAAGCACAAAGTTAAAAGTAACAGAACGAGAAGCAACAAGTCGATTATTTAAATGTTGTATATCTATATGTAAAAGTTTAAGTTTTTTTTTAAATATATACAGTCAAAAGTCATTAATTCAGACACTCATAATCCGGAATGATCTATAATCTGGACCTCAAAGCTACAAACTTGCTGCGCATGCGTCGGCTGCGCATATGCGTGTGCACAAGAGCATAATACGTTTACGCATGCGCGTTTAATGCATAACGGACGATATAAGCTAAAATTATCTATTTCAGTTAATGTTGCAGATTGCATTGTTCCTTAATCTTCGAATTGGATCTGGCTTATTATTTTTTACAAACTGTTAGAGCAATTTTTTAAAAGCAAGCTTGAACTTTCGATTATGTCAAATAGAATTTCCGATGCTGGAGCTACCAAAGGATATACAAAGCGAAAGTATGTTTCGATGTCCATTAAACAAAAAGTGAAATTGCTGCAAAAAAATGGATAAAGGCATGAAGAAAGTGACAGAGAGGTCAGTGAAAACGAAAAAATTTCGATTGACAAGTTAGTCGGTATTCTTGGCACAACAATTATAGGACTTGAACAGTGGAACTTTTTTAACTGAACAAGAAATTATGTCTGTTTATATAGAATTAAAGAGAAAGTATTAGCACATAAAACTAAGCAACTTTAACAACTTACATTGAAAGAAATGTTTAATAAAGTAAACAAATAAATATTAAGCTTTTTTTTTTTTTTTTGTAAATTTTGTTACCTTTTAGATCATCATATTTCTTTATTTCATAAATTACGGTTTAATATTTTTAATTTTATAATTTCTGCATGCCATCTTACCAGATTTAAACTGATGATCTATAATCCGGAAAAATCGATAATCCGGAATCGCCGAAGTCCCGACGAGTGCAGATTAACGACTTTTGACTGTACATATAATTTTTACATTAGGGACTGTAACAGTCGCATGTAGTACTTAGTTACTGATGGCATTGTTGTTTACAAAATTTTCTTCAATCAGATTGAAAAGTAGGAACAGTTTATCAATTACATGTTCTGTAGCTTGAATTTCCGTCCATTTTAGCCGCTATTTTCTTAATTATATTAGACAGGGAATAACCCTTAAACATATTATAGAATTTTTTAATGAGTTTGAAGATTTCAACAAATGATCAAAAACCTGAATCATTACCATTATTAACATTTTTGTTGACATGTGCAGAGTTAGGAACATTTTTGGTAAAGTATTTAGTAGTTTACCAAAAATGTTTTTAGTAGCATTTCCATATGAATTGCCAGGAGTAACGTGAAGATTTAACAGCTTTGTCAGAGTCATTAGATTTTACAAGTACATTTTTGTGATCAGTTTTATAAGTACTATTTACATTATAGTTTAACAATTTGGAGAACTTAAAACATCCGCTGTAATTGGACATATAACCTTCTTCATTTCAGTTACAACACTTAACTTTAGGAATTCTTTTAGTAATACAGTCAGATGATTTATGCTGGCCAGCACATTTAACACATTCAAAACAGTTCGGAAGAACAACTCTTTATCACAGTTTTTCTCTGTCACATGATATGAAACAGCCAATCATAGCAGATTGTTTTGGGGTTACTACGTAAAGGGGAAACTAGTTCTCCAATACAAATGACAGTTGACTACTGGAGATACGATGCTGACATCTGATTGGTTGTTGAAAACGAACCTACAATTGTTAGCGAAAAAAGGGAAAAAATTGTGCATCTTTCTTACAATGGCAAAGCAGATGGAAAAATTGTTTGAAATAGTTATTAATCTGAAATAAAAGGGTGTATGATATCAGGCCTAGGAGAACTGCCATATATCTTCAACATGCATTAATTGCAAAATGATATATGCTTGGGGGATTCATAAAGTATTTTATAAAATTTAATTAAACTATTTTTTGAAAATAATTTTCAGGTACTCTCAAGAAACTCTGATATATGTTAAAAAAACAGAACTTCATTAAATTTGGTGCATGGAAGAAAATTATCATTTGGTAGTTTTGCTGTTGAAGAAATGATTGACATTGAATCTGAAAAAAGTATAAATCAAACTCTAAAGCCCACATGAAGTTATGCAGATGAACAACAGAAAGTGATATCAAAAATCTGTTCTAAAATTAATTTAGGGCATTAATGCTGAATTAGGGAATTGGTGCTGAAGATTTTAGGATCTCTCAATTTTCTGAAAATAAATTTATTATGAATAAAAATACATAACAGGAATGAAACAAAAAAACTATACAATACCTGAATATACTGGATAAAACATCCACCACAGAGCACTGCTAGGAACATATGTACAGAGTGAAGCATAATAGCCTCTATAGAATCCTCTAAAACCATCCTTTTTGTACACTTCCTTCACAATAGTCATTGCAAGACTCTTCCTAGATTCATATATATTTATATTTAATGGATTCATTACAGGTGAATTAGCTGTAGATTTATTTTTCAACTGTCCAAGAATCATCATGTGTTGAGAAACAACATCGAAAGGTGTTATAACCGTTTGTCCAACCAATGATCCACAACCACCACCAATGAGACCTTTTATTCTTCTGTCATTTATGCCAGCATAAATAGCTAACATATGTCTTACTTTTTCATATGTTATTATGTACCCAATACCAGATGCAATTTGTATGGTATTAATCCAGAATCCTCTGTACAGACCACATATACCTTCATATTGTAGAATTTTAACAAAAGCATCAAATGTTCCTTTATACAAAGCATTCTGTCGTTGAACTTGAAGACGAGTCTTGATGACAGTAAAAGGATATAGAACACCACGTAAAACAAACGAGTTTACCATTGAAAGAGAGAAAAAGCGGGTTTTGTCCATCATTTCCCATTCAATGGTTAATATTCTTGGAGGATCCATAGTATCTATTTGGCACGTCATAATATGTGACTGAAGGTCAAGAATAACATGAACTATCCATTACTAAAATAATAAATAGGAATTACTTATACATTACATTAGTAGTCCTAAGTAGGAAAAACATTTCCGACATAAGGCAGCCATAACCTGCAAAAACGAAAAAAAATTCATAAATGCATGGAAATTAAGCAAAAATAATAAAAGTAACAGTATCTCTATGAAAAGCTTAAACTAGAAAAATATTTTTACTATCAAAAAAAAAAAAAAAAAAAAAAACTAGCATTTACAGCTACAGGCATTTTTTTATGGAACACAGAAATTTCTGCCACTTTTGCAGCTTGTGGAAAAGTCAAAAATCTTCCAGGCGAACATTTTATGTTACTGTCATAAATCAGTGATTTCTACATAACATGTTAAAAAAAAATAGGGGAATATGCAAGAGAGAAAATTATGAATGTAAATATGGCATAATTTGATTCAGTCTCAGACCAGCATCTTTCTTAAAGCCAATGCTTCATTTTGTATTTAGCTCCTGTTTACATACAATCATAACATAGCAATATTTCTTTTTGGGAGCAAGGCTAATATTTATGTAGCTGTCTTCCAAGAAGTCATCATGCTTAAAAATTACATTTAAAAAAGCAGAAATAACTCCAGTACTTGTATAGGCTCCATTTTCACTTAAAACAAAATCTCCAAATTGCACAAAAAAGACTTTATCCATGTACACATCGACCTATTTTCACTTAAAAAACATCATAGAATTGCACAAACTATGCTTTATGCACTCCCTTGAGTTTGTACATGTACACATCGATATATTTTCACTTAAAAAGTCAAAGGAGCACCCAACTTTACAGTAAAGGCAAACAAAAAATACATGATCTCAATAAACTACATTTTAAACCAAACAAATAAAATAACACAAAAAAGGAAAAAAACCTGTAATGTATTTTAGCATTAAACAAAGTAAATATCCCCTTATTTAGAAATTCGTTCATCTTCAATCTGTGGCACACAAAATTCCTTAACAGCATCCAAAAATTTCCTAAAATTATCTGAACTACAATCCGTATATCGGCATCGCCACAGAAATTCACAAAAATAACAGTAAAAAATATACTACGTAGTTCCGGACTATGGCTACTAAGTAAACCTTCATTTACACACCAGTCAATTAATGCACTTTTTCCCTTTCATTTCAACCTATTTTCACAAATCTCACATCAATTGCAAGTTCTAAAAAATTATAGAGGTATCAAATACAAATAGTGTCCACAAATTAACAATCCTCAAAATATAAGTAAACATGAAATTACCTTTGCATTGCGTAAAAATGCAAAAATAACAACACAATAACATTTACAGGTGCTCTTCTGTTATTGGGACTGGATTCAGAAATCATGTATGAAAGGATATATGTGTGTATGTACATACATACATTCTATATATATACATGCATACATGATCCCTACATATATGCATATATACATACATTTCTGAATCCTGCCCTGATAAAAGAACAATGCCTATCTATATTATCCATTATATTTTGCATCACAAGAGACAATGAGTAGAGAAAAACATATGAGAACTTTTATTTGACATTTTCTGATCCTTCTGATATTTCACTCTCATGTGAAGTTTTATTTTTTAAATTGCATAAAAGTCTACATATTGAACTAACGTTTTACGTACTTTTTCATTCTTGACCTTTATGTGCACCTTTGAGGTACATTTCTGGATAATTTCAGTATGTTTTCCTTGATATTTTTTTAATCATATAATTTTCCCCCGTTTTTCCTATAACTTTTTTATCTGAAATCCAATGGAACAGTTACAGGCTAATCTTTGGAATATGGTAACAGGTAGTTTGGCGACATTTTGGAGGCGATAAAGTTTACTACCTAGGACTTTGGGAATAATGTGAGAAGTACTTAGTTCCGATTACGCATTATTTTGTGTGAGGGAAATGAGAGATCATGACATATATCATGTGACATTAATGGACGAATCACTGTTCTTTAATCGGAAAAGGGGGTAAATTTGTAAAAATATCTGCCGTACTTTGTAGCATTAGTTTCATTCTATGTTCTGTGAAACAGTGTTGTTTAATATTTGGATCCCATGCCCTATATAAAGTAAATCCGAAATTTTAATTGCGTTTATGTGTAATTGAAAAGAATTGCTTAACCCGCGAGCACACGCGGCGGGTATGTCATACCCATGTGCATTTTTCTTTTTGTGTATTTCTCGCCCATTATTTCATAAAAGGTCGAAACTTGGTGTAGCTGAGTTCAAGGTCACATACTTAAATGGGGGAAATTCCTGAGGTGGCAAGTGCAATGGTTTTTTAGGAGCAGCATTATTCGGGCATGTCATACCCGTGCGTGTACTCGAGTTTCTCAGTGAGTCACTTCGCACTTCTCGTTTTCAAGCTTTTAGTATTTTTTGAGTCGTAAGCATGGCGCCGTATATTCCTTACGATGAAGAGATGAAAAAATTGAGAAATCTCTTGAAACAGTTTCTTCTGATAAGGATCCATTTATTGAAGAAGAGGAAGATGTTGATGACGAAGAATATAATAGTGATCATGATTCACCCATAGAGAGTAGTGATTCAGATACAGAAACAGAAAATGAAACTCTAGAATGTAGCAATAAGTTTTATGTTGGGAAAAAATGGAGTAAAATGGAACAAACAAATTTCCGGACTAATGTTAGAATTGGCGCCAAAAATATTATAAGCTAAACTCCCTGGAAATACAAAGTATTCTAAAGACGTCTCAACACCATTAGATTCCTTGTCATTGCTTATCGATGAAGATAGTATGTTAAAACATGTAGTTGATAACAATACAAATATTTATATTGATTCAATACGAGAAAATTTTACTCGTAAACGGGATGAGTACTTTTCTCAAAGCCTTAGGGATGCAGCTAATAGAAAATGTTCAAAATGAACGACGGCAAGCATCTGTGGTTCCTGATTCTGGACAAACACTGACCACCAATGAACATGCGAACAATGAACGGTCTCCCAAAAATCCTAAAATGACTTACAAGAGGTGTACAGAGTGCTCCAAGAAAAAAGATAGAAACACTAGAAAGATATGTATAGATAGAAAATTGACTAGAAAATTGTCTAGACTAGATAGAAAATTGTAGCAAAAGTATATGTATAGAACATATGACCTCATTTTGTAAACAATGTTCAAGAAGTAAGTAAATAATTTTTCCTCTCCTTATTGTTTCCTATTTTGTCTAAAATGAAGTATTAACTTGGTTTTGCATTTAATTTCTTTTAAAAAACGATTAATTTTTTTTTGACAAATTTTTAATTACAATTTTTTTATTCGGGTATGACATACCCAGGGCGTGTTCTCGTGTTCGTCGGATCGGTGCGTGTGCTCGCGGGTTAATTGCGGATAAGTATGAATGTCCAATGAGATTGTGTAAAAGGAAGGATATTACAAATAAGTTTGAATGGCGGTGCAAGAAATTTGATGAAAATGGACATTTTGTGATCCGCCATGCACTCAAGATTCTGTAGAAGATTAGGTTAGTATTTTTAATTATTTGAGGATATTATTTTTATGCATTGTTCTAAATGTAAGGAGTAAATAAATTAATATGGTATTATTGGAAAATTGTTATTAGCAATGATTTAGTTTAAAGTAATTAGGATTGTAAGCTAATTTTTATTAATTTAATGTATGTGCTTATTTATATTTTAAGTAGTGTTTTTTAATTTAATTATATTTTAATTTAATGATCGTGATTTTGAGAATCATATGTTTGTAGTACTTTGGAATACGTTTGAGTAGAAGTAAATGTGCATGGAAAGAATTTAAATATTTGACACAACAGGGGTGTTTGTGGGACCCCAAAAAATCCCCTGAAACTTTTACGGACTTACTACCGACATTTTGGAGTTTCGAGAAGGGAGGGGGAGAGAAATGAAAAATTACAATTATGAAGTATTGAATGACCTAATTATAAAAGTTCAATGAATTACTTTTTTTGCAAAATTAATAACCATAAATTTTCAAACATATAAACTACTACATTTTATGTAAATATTTTAAATTACCTGAATTAATTCTTTTAAAAAAAATTATCTAATTTCTGCTGCTTTTTTTTTATTTTCTGATGTTTGTGGGCTTGTCTTTCTTACGTGGTGAACTTCATAATTGCAGGAAGGTTGACTTTTATTTTCCTCATTTACAGTTGAAGAAATTTCCTCGAGAACTGCACATGCAGAGGTAGAAGCAGTTTGCTTTTCTGCTAATGTAGAAGGTTTTTCAGAGACTTTTACAGGTGACTCATCCGAAATACATGTTTTTAAGTCCTCTTGATGTGTTTTCCAACTTCTGTTCATATTCAGTAAGAGATCTTTGTGAATTGGATCAGTCATTGGATTTTTTTTAGCCATATTTTTCACATGAGGTTTCTTTAGAAGCCATTAAATCATATTTAATAGTGCATCTAGGGAATCAATCTTAAGAGAGGTTCTATAGTCAGTGACAAGTGTATCCATTAAGTTGAGTGCACTTTCCACTAATGGGCCATGGAAGCAGCTGGCTTTGACCAATTTAGCCAATGTAGGATACTTATAATCATTTGTGAAATCATCTTTTAAATTAAAAACTTTAGACCAATATTTATCAATTGTACACTTGACTTGATTTTCACTTTCATCAGATGTGTAGAGCATTTCTTTGGTGATATCAATATCACTCTGGTATAACCTTATTTCAGCTTCTGCTTTTGACTTTTCCTTATCACTAAAAATATGGGACATAAAAGATGATAATTTTTCAAAGATGTGCACTCTATATTTTCTGGCTTCATAAAAAAAGAGAAAAATTTTGCCATTAATTTATAAATACTGGAATGTATTAAATGAAACATTGGTTTTTTTGTTTCAAATAATTTAATATATGTGTTGAACTCTGGTAATACTGCTGAATATAATGCCATATGCAATAAAGTTTTGTTTTGCATAACCCATTTAATATTCTTTTTTTTTTTTCGAGCTAAAGCATTCTTTATGAGTTGTTGGGAATGCGAGCAAGAATACACCCCTTCAACAATTTTTTTCTGAGCTGCAGAAATATTTCTTTTACTGTATACAGTTTCAACATA